AAAAATCGGAGAGATTCTTAAGAAAACATAAAAAATAACTCAAAATACACTCAAATCTATGACAGACCTGAAGAGTCAAGAGATGAGTTAGGGTTTCAGAGAGAGATACCCCTGAGATGGAGAGATTCCGGCTTAGAGGCCTTGGATCTGGCCGGAAAATAGAAAAATCTTACTCAGACGGGCCAAGGGTGGCCCGAGAACGGTCACCACAGACCCTAGGTGTGAGTCGAACGGCCATTGGTCCTTTGAGAGCCTTAGGGTAGCAATAATCCGTCATGGGGGGAGAGCCATGGAGGCGAGGGGTGGTAGTGGAACCACCATTGATACCGGTGAGCCAACGACCGGCGAGTAGAAGCTTAGGTTTTAGCAGAGAGAGCTTCAGAGAATGAGAGATGTAACGGCGGAGAGAATGAGAGGGAAAATGAGAGTTTTGGGGGGGGGGGTAGTCTATTAGGTTAATTAAGGTTAGGACGGATCTGGTCCGTTGATCAAAATTGATCAACGGTCCAGATTAAACAGGGATTGGGTCGGGTAGGATAGTGGATTGGGCCTTAGGGGTATTGGGCTGATTTAATCAGGTTTGGGTTTGGTTTAATTTAGGCTAGATATGAAATGAAATTAGGCTATTTGTTAAATACCCAATTCAAATTAATTAAAATAATTTACAAAATAGCTAATAATTATATAAAATGAATTTCATGCACAGAAAATAATTAAAAATGACTATTTAATATTTTAAAATACAAATGATTAATTTCTGGTAAAAAAATAGTATAAAATCATATGCTTGGGCTATAATTGCAAAGTTATTGCAATTGTAGCCAAACGATGCCAATTTGGCTGATTACGGAATAATTTGGTTTAAATAGGACCATAAATAATAAAATAAATCAAGAAATGCTTTTGAAATCGCTTGTGATGCAATTCTATAATTATTTATTGGAAATAAAATGCTGGGTAAATTAATAAAATATAGGAAAATTATGAAAAAATACCAATTGATATTGATGCATGATTATGAAGGTATATATGCAATTTAAAATATTTTTGGGAAAAATTGGGTATCAACACTTGTTAGTCTAAGTTCAGGACCTATTGTCCTTAACTTGTGGGCTTCTTAGCCTAAGTTCAGGACCTATTGTCCTTAACTTTTGAGCTTGTTAGTCCAAGTTCAGGACTTCAGGACCTATTGTCCTTAACTTTTGAACTTGTAACTGTAAGCTCAGGACCTATTGTCCTTAACTTTTGAGCTTGTTAGTCTAAGTTCAGGACCAAGTGTCCTTAACTTTTGAACTTGTAATTCTAAGTTCAGGACCAGGTGTCCTTAACTTTTGAACTTTGAACTCGAAGTTCAGGATCAAGTGTCCTTAACTTTTGAACTTGTAACTGTAAGTTCAGGATCCATAATGTAGCAGAAAACCAAACATTATTTGTATCTTTTCACAAAATAATAATAATACAAATAATAATTGCAATTTACATATAAGATTGATGTCAGATTCGGCTTGGATGCAACATTGATAAGACAAATCTACATAACCTTTTCATTACTAGTCTTATGAAAATACAAGTGACGACAATTTAGTGTCCCAAGATAATTTGTCTAATGATGATTCTGAGAATTCAAAGGATGAGGATGATAAAGAGTGCGATAGTGATGAACAAAATAAGTTACTGATATGTGTTAGTCTACAATCAAAATCATAGACGTCGGCGGAGTCCACGGCAGTCGCCGTCTCACAGACAACGGTACAGTTCTTCTCCCTAAGATGAAAGAGATAGAAGAAAAGGTAACACAGTCTTTTCATATTAATTTTAATAAACTAGTGGCTACTATTGCTAAGCATTGAAAATGCTGGATAAAAAATAAATACACTTTAAAAAGTGGCTACCCCACACAATTTTTACTCGTTTGGTTGGTGAGATAAAGTATAACAATCCCAAGATAAAATACGAAATTATTTTGGAAAATGATAAAAATGGTCCCTTAACTTTGGGAGTAGGTTTATGATGGTCCTTTAAATATACACCTACTAATTTTAGTCCTTTAAGTATTCGCAAACTTCACAATTTTGATCTCCATCCATTTTTTAACTAACACCGTTAGTTTATTTAGAACTCAATAAGAGCTTCAACAAAGGTGTGAAAGCCATCTTTGCCGTGTCTCTTGACTGCTTCATCTTCCTCCAGTTTGGATAAATGAATACAAGGCAAAGACTCATAAATTTTTTTTGTGAAAATTAGGCAACAACAGAATGGCTATTTTTCCCTTTTGGTTTTACAATACAACTCTAGTACATGAAGGGTTTTAGAGACTAAAAATAGGGAATTTTTCTCTCTTCTTGGTTGAAGGTAAGTAGATCATTTTTGGCCGAACTCCCTTGCCGGATAACGAAACCGCCGGTAACACCTAGGCAATTATTGGGTTCTTGTTTGGTCCGTGCTTTGTAAGCGCTAGTTGGGTTTTAATATGGCTGGGTTTTGTGGTGTATATCTTTGCAAAGTTAACTGCATGATATTTTAAACAAGACTAAAAGTGGCGCTGCCTCACGGTAACAGTTTATGTCCGGATTTTGTTGAATGTTGTGGACTTTGGTGGAATTTTCTGCAGTTTCATTGATATAATGACAACTTATTGACATGGAAATAAAAAAACTAACGGTGATAGTTAAAAAATGGATGGAGATTAAAATTGTCAAGTTTGGGAATACTTAAAGGACTAAAACCGGTAGGTGTATATTTAAAGGACCATCATAAACCTACTCCCAAAGTTAAGGGACTATTTTTGTCATTTTCTCAAATTATTTTACTTCGTAATTTGGTTGCATTTTTGAATTCGAGATAGTAATCCTAGAGTTAGTTATACAAAAACTATAGTGTTATTTTTATCACATTGAGGATGAGATAACAATTCAATGTTACTAATCACGGGGTAAAAGACTAAAAATGATAAAAATGCCCCTTTTTGCAAAATGCCCTTTTTGGAATTTGTTGCTACATTGTATCCCTCACACTTCACAATGGAGAATTATCATACTGCTGGTGAAAAATCTTGGTCGTTTAAGTTAAGTGAGGTGTGACAGCTGTTACCAACAAGTGATTAATAGGGAAAAGTTAGACGATAAACGTTTGGAAGGGAGCACAGTCCTGTGGGGTAGATATTTGTTCATTAAAAGAGATGTTAACAAAATATATCTCATTGTTTCTTCTTCATTCATTATCTTAAGAAAATTGCCGAAGTTAATATTTAACAAGTATGCTCAAGCGATAATCTTGCTAGCCTATGAAATGTTGGTACACAATGTTAGATTGAAGAATGAGCAGCTATGGCGGAAAAGAAATTAAGAAAACCCTAGTTAGGGTGAGAGAGAAGAGAGAAGATGAGTCAGTCAAAACAAGGAGTCTCTTATTTTCATTATTGTTATATTTACATAATGGCTGTGTATTTATACTTACACCAATAAATGTGTAAAAATAAAAGAAATGTGAGAACTAAAATACAAGTGGGCCGGGTACTCCAGGTAGTGTATTATTGTTGCTGGGCTGGGCCCTTTCCTTTAGTTGAACAGTCCATATCAGTGTTAACACCCCACCCCCCCTCAAGCTGGAGGGTGAAAATACACCAAGCTTGCCAAGAATGATGTGATGAAGCTGCCCAGATAGCGCCTTGGTCATAATATCAGCCAACTGGTTAGTACTAGAAACAAAATGTAAAGAGATAAGCCCAGAATTCAAGCACTCACGAACATAATGCAAATCAATCACAATATGCTTCGTACACTCATGAAAAGCTGGATCTTTGGCAATTGTGAAAGGCAACCTGACTATCACAATGAACTGGGACAGGAGAATAAATATGAAGACCAAGATCCCCAAGAAGTCTGACCAGCCAAGAAACTTCAGCAGCAACTTAGGGCCCTGTATTCAGCGTCAGCTGAAACAACGAAATGGTGGGATGTTTCTTGCTTTTCCAAGAGATAGGGATCCCACCAAGTGTCACATAAAAATCAGTAATTGATTTGCGAGAAATAGCACAAGATGCCCAATCATAGTCAGAGTAAGCCGTAAGAGACAAGTCAGGAGAATTGAAGAGGAGCACACCCTGAGAAGGCCCTTGTAACACACAATAAGAAGGGCCAACGATCTAAATTAGTGTCTTATGAGAGGGCACATACACACTATGCTATTTTTATTTACTTCCATATTTTTTTTCTTTCCATTAAGCTTTTCTTAAAAAGTTTTTAATTAAATTGTTTCATCGTGTATACAAGCAAATTATGAGCTTCTTTTTCTTCACTTACATGTCATCTCCAATGCAATCCTTTTTCAGGTCGAGCCTCGACCAGACATACTTTAAATTCATAAAAATCAAAAAAGATCGCCAAAAAATATACTGAAAGCTCCCACTATTACCCTTGATATCCACCTATGTATTTTAACTAGAGGTATCATATTTATGCTCTACGTACTTGAATAAATAAGAGTTTTCCTTATCTCAAATTCTCAATATGTTTGCCCTTTTTCCCTTGTATTACTATGTTATTTCACAGCATTTTCTTGTCTTTTTCTTCTATGTGCAATTGAGTTGCCAATACTTTTTAAGAGAAAGTTGATAGAAACTAAGGGCAACGCTAGTTTCTGCAAGTTTACTGGACATTGATTGAAAATAGAATAATTTGAAAGGATTTAAACATGCTTGATGTGAGAACTTTTACAGCTTAATAAGTCTATTCTACTCCCTTGACAGAAAATAGAAATTCTAAGTTCAATAAAAATAGGTGAATGATCACCGATTACCTTATGTTAAATTTGAAAAAAAAATGATCTTTCATATACGCATACGACTCAAAATTTTGGATACATTCTTCCTTCTCTTTAACGGAAATTAAAAGTTCAGATAGTTTATGTAGGAACGAAAATGAGGCTCTTCCACAACCTCGCACCCTAAAATAGGGTGTGGGCAGTGGCTGAGCCAAAATTTTCCCCGCGAAGTCAAAATATATAAAATATAAAAATAAACGTACCAGGAAATTAAGAGGAGTCAATACATAGTACATATACATATAATTTTTTTTTTACCTACCTACACAATGTATTTTCCCCGCGAAGAGAAGTCATTTGACACCCCTTCCTATAAGGTGGCTTCGCCACTGGGTGTGGGGGGAGGAAAAATGGAAAAAGAAGAGACAAACAACTACTAGAGCAGTACTGAGAGAAGATACAGCAATCAGCACGGACAACGGTCATGTCATTTGATGAGACATTTTAAGCTAGGCAACATGTTCTCCAAGAACATCTCCTGTTCGTCCAATTTGATAGAAAATCCTTTTATGTTTCTTCCAACAGATCCTGGTGTCCCGAGAAGGAAATCCTTGTCAAAGGTTGTCATATAACTATGTTTTAACCTACACTAATCTGAAACTACCACTGATCATGGGGCAACTGGAGGTTTGACGCTCCTAGAGAGTTTCTGGTGCACAAGAAAAAACACATACTGGTCTGGCATTACTCTTCACTACAAAAGCAAGTCCAGAAAAATGAAAATTGAGTGATCAATACGCATCTACTGCATGTTTCGAACAGAAACCCGACTAGGAAACAAAATGGACACCTTGGCAGTAACATGCCCCGGGTACATCTTGGCTGCGGATTTGCATACAAATGGATTCTATACCATCATTTCGAGTGCACAATCTCGCACCAGAGACCTTCTCCAACCCTCAAAGTGAGCCCGACTTTCCTTCCTTTGGACCTTTATTCTCCTTTGCTAGGAGAGGAGGTCATGAGTGAGAGACTTCGTTCTGAAGGAACCACAAACACAGTGGAACCGCAGAACGAAGTCGAACTACAGTCCTGGATAACGATCCCCTAGCCCTACGGAGATCGGAACACCAAAAAACAAAATAAAAGACACACTATTCAAATGGACATCAAATAAAAGAGTCGACCTACTACGGTCCTGGATAACCCAGGTATATATAAAGAATCATATGTTGATTCTGCTAAACATGATTGTGGAAACCATCTTCCCACAGTCAATTCAATTATATAATCCGTCTCCATACAGAGACTGCGAAAAGAGCAGTCCAAGCACTTCCTCATCATTTCTGATATGGTTATCTGGACTGCTTGATATCTTACAAGTGATTCCCTCGAATATTTGGTGGCCATGACTTTGAAAGACCTGAAACAGGAATGCTAATAAACCTTAGCAAATACTTTTACAAAACAGCCCCAAAGAGACACGAGTTTCGAAGTAAACACGTAAAGGAAGGGAAATGAACAGTACTGACACTAAACATCCAATCAATGAGCCCATAACTACACAAAAAAAAAAAAAAAAAAAACGTGGACAGGCGGCGGTGCAGGGAGTTTCTTTTCTTTCTAGATACATTAGATACTCAAAATGAAAATTGAGATTTTACAATGTTTCCAACGTTTTCACTTTTCAGATATGAGTACACCTCTTGGCAACAACAATAGTGGATGATTAGGGCATCCGACTCAGGATGGAAAGGAACCACATTACAACTCTCCCAGAATGCTTTGTCCCACACGGTGACAGAAGGGCAAGAATAATAGAGAGCACAGACTAAACCCAAAATTAAGATCTTTCTCTTGTATCCTTACAGCCAGGAGCTTCTCAAGGAAAATTCACAAAAGAATAGTACTATTATATAGACTATATTCATTCATCCAGCCATAACTACCCCCAACACAGTAAGAGAATTTGGGATTAAACCGGGAACATATATAATTTAGAATCTGAGCAAGTAATTTGACAAAGACTACTGATGAAAATCCTCCGAGGGAGATCTACTACCTCTTTGTTGCCTCCCCGCTGACGTTCAAGGTCATATTCCAAGTCTACCACACAAGTTAGAGCGAGCCAAATCCTTGAATTCATCCTGCAATTGAAGCAACATCGGACAAATCCAAGCGTGTGTATTATCTTCAGGGTAAAACTACATCAAAGCCAGATAGACTAAGAGGAGTATCATAATCTCCTTACCGTGATACACCAGTTCCTTCAACAATTCAACCTGCCATTTGGTCAGACCCACTGCTCTGCGTGAATTGTGGTGGGCGAGCTGCAATCTGTGACTGACGAGGGGACGACATGGTGATGCCTGAAGAAACGGGGTAATCAAGCAGCTTCACTACAAAAAGATAACAGCTTAAATTCATTCTTACTGACTCAGACCACATAATAGGTATTTAGACAATGTAATGCTTGTTGCCCTTCAGTACTACAAATTTCATCACAACTAAGGTCAAATGTTGTAGAGAGCGAAAAGAGGGTAAAAGATAACGCAGAGTACGAGCACTTGTTAAGGACAAGCTACAAAAGTAATTGCTCACTTTCTTGAGATGTAAGCTTACTTACACCTAGACAACTCGGGAAAGCAGGTAAGCAGTACCTTATTAACAATCAGATCAACCTCAGCAGGCCAATAAATCTTGAACCAGCCTCACTCCCAAATACTTAGATTTAAACCCCCCAAAAAACAATATCTCAATTGGTCATTCTGGGTTGTGTTAGTATTACATGGTTGAGAGTCAAAAAGTCATTAATGTTACTGCTGTTAAAGCCACCATTTTCTGTATGTCTTGATATGTATGTTAGAATTATTATGCGATCAATCCTTCATCCTATATCAACAACAACAACAGACCCAGTGTAATCCCACAAGTGGGGAAAAGAGGGATGCAACACGAGGACTTCCCAGGTTGTCACCCATCCTAGTACTACTCTCGCCCAAGCACGCTTAACTTCGGAGTTCTGATGGGATCCGGTGCATTAGTGCTGGTATTACTTCATCCTATCTCAATCCCTTGCATTTACCTAGTAAGCACATTCAACAGATCTTCCGATAATGGGTACAAAAATCAAGTTAATTCCAATTTGAATGATTCCCAGGCCCTGTGTTGTCCAACTATTTGGTGAAGTGTGACATTTGGGACTTAAAAGCTTATTCCTTTGCACCAAATTTTTTAGAAACATCATCGCTCATAATGAAAAACTCTAGTGAAGTAATTCCAACCAAAGTAATTTCTATTTTAGAAACCCTTTTTTGTTTTTGCACACAAAACGCAGGAAATAATTCCTACCAAAGTCGTACCTGAATGATATGGTAGTTGCATGACAGGAACATTGTCTGTTGTAGCTCCGTTAGTATTAGGTCTCTGATATTGCACCATCTGAGGACCTGGCATCATATGACCACGAAATGCGTATGCAGGACTGCCAGGCTGCATACCAAGTTGGCCAAATTGCAATGAGTTCGTGCCAACAGTACTTGGTATCCCATACATCTGAATGAAATGCAAAGATAATAGCTATTAAGCCCTGGATGGAAAGTGATGCGTATAATCACATGCCCACTAGCTCTTCCTAAAATTTAGCCTTAACGTTCCTCGTAAGAGAAAACGACGAAAGAAAGAGAAACAGATGCTATTCAAACATTTTGCAAAGTAGACTTACTTGTGGATAGATGTAGTCTGGCCCATATGCAGGAAACCTACCAATACGCCAATCAAGAAGGAAAAATTAGGTATAATAAATGAGAACGCTCGAGCATTTCAGGTAGTGTTAATGTACTCATGAGCATGATTACAACATAGCTGGTACTAGAAATTCTAATCAAATCAAAAGACCCGTAGGCAAACATCAATATACAAATATATAGATGTTCCCACACCAGACTGAAATATTATAACAGAAGACAGTGCCACAGTAAAAGCATGTCTTTCTTGCTTCACAACAACTTGTTGTTTTTGTTTTAAGGAAATACTTGTTAAAGAGAAAAATTCAATCATTTGCCTTTTTTTCATAAAAAATTAAATTTGCAGAACATGAAGATAACAGAAAAGAGAAAGTTGTGAAATTACAATGCTAATTCATCAATTCGGGCAACTTTTAGATGAAATAACTATGAAGTATCTCAAAAGTCTGATAGGAGTTAGAAGACATCATATGTGCATGAGAACAAAAATTTTAGAAAGAGATTATCTACTACAAAAAAGAGCTGTACATATATCTTTTCATACTAAGTTTGCTATATCAGCTTTTGATTTAGCCATGGTCCACTCTCATCTAATGAGCAACACACCAAACTTTCAAGTCTCAGATAAAATATATCAACTCAATGATAATGAGGTGTCTCCCATTACTGAGCACCTGGGATAATCGGAAAACATAAATCAGATGATTCTCTCCCTCTCTTTTTTCTCCCCCAAAAAATAAATGCTGGTTCTGGTGATTCCTAATGAATATTATATCAGAATGTTGTTCTCATGACGCGGAGAAACACCCATACCCCGTGAGCGAACTAAAATTAGACATTTGCACGGAAAACAGCAGTATTAGATCCCCTGCTCGGGTAGTCAGTACTGACCTATATTGAGGATATGAGAATCCAGGCTGATAGCTGTAAGGAACTGGTAGCTGGTAAATGGGGTTGCCCATATACATACCCCTCATGGCCTGTGGATTTCCCAGATAGGGCATTGATGATCTCAAACGTCCTATAAGATAATCAAAATTAAAGGGAGGATAAAGACAAGTGTAAATGTCAAATTGCCACGGTGCACCAAAATGCTAACTTTATCACATTATATTTTAGTTTTTTGTTAGCATTACCATTGTTGTTTATCTTTATTTGGTTTATTTATTAGCACAACAGTGTTACTTTAGCGTCCTATCTCTTGAAAGGTAGACCAGCTCTGCTACACCAAAAGAAAAGGCCATCTCTTGAAAGAAGGTTTATACACGCTCTCAAAACTTAAAGATAGATTATTGCTGGCTGCACCGTCTATCTCTCCACAAAATTAGATTAGCATCAGTCCTCCCTATCTATGCACCTTCACTTAATGCCTTTGTTTAGTAAGGTGGGAGAAGAAAGAAAAAGATAACATCAGATACAGATCAATTGACATATTTTTCCCAACCATTCTCACTTGAATCATGAATGACTAGGCTGAAAGTGCAAGAAAAAAAAAAAAAAAGGGAGCAAAAAGAAGCGATAATGGCTAGCGAAATAATGCATTATCAAAATGAGAATATAATACCATAAGGTAAAACTCCTTGAGGTCGTCCAAGTGAAGCCAAATTACAATTTGCTCTTCTGCCATCAATAATCGGATTAGGATTGGCACAAGCCCTCCAAGCTGCTTCAGGATCATGGAATGTCACCTAATTTCCATATTAATTAAACAAATCAGCATTTCGCAAATGAGAAATGGTAATCAGGAAAATTGAGCCGTTGAACATTATCAAGAATGTATGTTGTCACCATAACGAAGCAAATAGTTGGAAAGAGGACACAGAAGTTATGATCAGATATTGATCCACCTACATGGCCATGAAAGATCTTAAAAAATTAAAGAGTATGTAATTTTTGGATTACAATTATCAGGTAATTTGTTTCTTTCAACACATATATTATTCTTAATTTTATAGTATTACTTTTACGTTCAACTCAGTTCCACACTAAAAAGAGGGCCAAGAATGCCATGCTATGAATGATTTCTGCCATATAGCTAGAGACAATCACTGCCAGATAACATGCACATATCTCTTAATTGTACATTGGATCAAATTAATGCCAATTTGAGCAAAGCGTCCTCAAAACTTTATGATAAATTAAGGTCAATGTAAATTGTCTTTCTCTTATTTCTTAAACTCTGTGCCCAGTCAAATAATTTCACGGAAACGGAGCGAGTAATAAGAAAGTGTCACTCCTTGTAAAGGAACCTAGCAAGTTAACATGGCCAGCTCATCCAAGCCAGTCGTACAAGAAAACATCCCCACTAGACAGCTGTCTTTGCCTTAAAATTATTCATTAACGTATCAAATTTGACAAGTCACCTTTGGCATGTATCCAATAAATGATGCAAAGTTCAAATCTTTCAGTAATAATAATAATAGTAAAAGTTACTAAAAGTGATTCGAGAAAATAGAATTACACATGAGTAAAAAGCAAATAAAGAAGCAGGAATTAAAGAAAGAAGACACACAAAGCCATAGCCTTTGGAGCGGGCAGTATGTTTATCAGTGATGACAACAGCTTCAATAATATCACCAAACTGCTCAAAATAACGGCGCAGTGATTCACTCTTAGTTTCCCAAGCCAACCCACCAACAAAAACTTTTGTATAAGTTGTATCTCCTCCAACCCCATATGGGCCCCGACCCACAAACGGCGAATTACCCGAACCACCACCACTACTACCACCTGGACTCATCTGATAAGCCATGAATACAAAGCTCCTAAACAAAAAGTATCAAAATTGATAGTAAAAAAGATTAAATCTTTTTCTTTTTATAGGAAACAAGGGAGTGATCAAGAAAGAAACTTGAATTGTAAGAAAAGAGAGAGGAGTGAGGTGGCAGTGTGGGGAGGAGAGAGAGAGAGAGAGGAGAAAACCCCTGGGTAAAAACTAAAAAAACCCTGCGCAAATTTAGTGCAAAGGAGGAGAGAATAGAAAGAGAAAGAGAGAGAGGAATGAATACGTGTGGGTCCAAAAGTCTACGCGTTTTTGTAAAGACAGCCAGCTAATTCAATCAAAGACTTTTAGAGAGAGAAAGAGAGAAGATGCTGAGAGCAAAGCAGATGGATGAGGGAGGAGGAGGCTGTTTTAGCCGTGTCTGCGGAATCTTCCCGACATTTTCATTTCATTTTATATTTTTCAAGGATACGTCATATTCGTCCCTATCCTTTGTGTAATGGGACTATCTGTTTTTTTTCCCCATAGAATTTCCTTACCTTTTTCCTGTAAATTAAAGAGAATGCTCTCCCAAGATAAACGGGTCAATTAATTTTGTAGCTTTTTATAAATTTATTTTATTTTTAAAATCTTACTTTTTTTTATATATAAAAAATATATCTTTTTTATAAAAATATATCTAAAAAGATTATTTTCTTAATTTTAAAATTATAAAGAGACATGACGTACAAATAACATCAAACTTTATGAGTTATTTATACATCATGCTCATGTACAATTTAAAATTAAGAAAATAACTTTTTTAGATCTCTTGTATAAAGCAAAAATAAATCTCTCATATATAAAAAATCAAAATAGGATCATAAAACTAAAAACAAAGTATTATGAGAACTTCAGTGTATTTAAATCAGACATTTATTTGATTTTCATATGCTAAATGGATGTTCAATACTATATTTTATAACTTTATCTTATTTGTACTCGTAGTATAACATTTTTTAATATCATAAAACGTACTGGAATATTTGTGTATATGTTATTGATCTTCTTTTTCAGATAACCAACTTAACCATACTTCACAGGAATTTCTTGTGATTTTTTTATATATAATAACGCAGAAGAATTTTATATTATTTAGCTTCTATATAAAGTTAAACCTATAATTTATTGGTTAGATTAGTTAAGTTACACAGACACAAACACACATATAGTTTGCCCTGTGTATGGGTCAGAATTCGACCCCACGATAATTAACGAGGCTAATCCCGTTAATAGTTAATTCACGATTAATTAGTGGCACGACCACTCAGAATTGACGACGCTCAACCCGCCCCTGGCTCGGTCAACAAAGGCCCCGGGCTATCCACCACTATAAAGGCGAGACCTCAACGTGGTCACGGCCACTTATGGACAGCTCATGAAGCCCACAACTATAAATACCAAGAGAAGGGACCCTAGAAAGGGGGGCTTCTACACCACTAGTGAGAGGAGAGAGAAACGAGAAAATATACCCCTCTTATGGGAAGAGAAAAACACCATTGTAAGGCTCTGAACCTCTTCATGGAGAGGCAGACCAAACAAATATTATCAATAAAGGTTTCTAATGCTTCTCCCCCTAATTCTGAGTTCTTGTTTTCATTTCTATCAATTGGTCCAACGGATTATTACGATTTGCTATGATTATCCCGGGATTAATTCATATTGTCTTGTACTCGTAAGATGTGTAACATTTTTTGAGCAAACAATTTGGCGCCGTCTGTGGGGATTTCATAGCAAAATCGCGTAGTTCTTCCCTGGACCAAAAGAAAAGAAACGCCAAACTCGAAGGGGAGCTCGAAGATCTCAAATCAAGATCTGAATCCTCACTCTCTCTCCAATCTCAGATAGTGCAAACAAGAAGAAGCCGGGCCCCCTCCTTTCCTAAGGGGAGGTCTCTGTAAGGCATACGAACTCCAGTCGGAAACCGGCACGGAGATATCTCGAGCCGAGATTCGCCTCAAGACATCCTATATACCCTGGTTGGGAAGACAATTGGTAAACTGCTCAAGGTCTCGAATCCAAAACGAGTTCTAGCACTCAATACCCACAATATGGGACTCAGGCTCTGTGCCTTCGTCATCAAGTTCAACTACGGTTGAACCGGGACTCAGGCTATGTGCCTTCGCCAAAAATTCAACTACGGTTGAACCGGGACTCAGGCTACGTGCCTTCGCCAAAAATTCAACTACGGTTGAATCAAGACAGGCTATGCGCCTTCGCCAAAAATTCAACTACGGTTGAATCAAGACAGGCTATGCGCCTTCACCAACAAATTCAACCACAGTTGAACCGAGACAGGCTATGCACCTTCACCAACGAGTTCAACTACGGTTGAACCGGGACTCAGGCTACGTGCCTTCGCCAAAAATTCAACTACGGTTGAACCGAGACAGGCTATNTAGAGAATAAGCTTCAGATGATTTGAGGAATGATCGTTCAGATGATTAGGAAGCGGAAATGCTAATTGAGGTGATTTTACGAGGGTATAGATTTTGAAAGAGGCAATGTGATTAAGTTGATAGCACTTCGGTAGTATTGCAGCACTTCTCGTCAGATCGGCTGCTGATATTCGAGTCTGCTTGGCAGCACAGAAGAATCTTAGAGTATCTCTCGTGGAATGATTGAGTACAAGAGGTGAGTTATATATGCGAGTGGCGAAATTGGGATCAGATATGGTAATTCGTGTGTTTTATGGACTTGGATATTGAGACAGGCTATGCGCCTTCGCCAAAAATTCAACTACGGTTGAACCGAGACAGGCTATGCGCCTTCACCAACAAGTTCAACTACGGTTGAACCGAGACAGGCTATGCGCCTTCGCCAAATATTCAACTACGGTTGAACCGAGACAGGCTATGCACCTTCACCAACAAGTTCAACTACGGTTGAACCGGGACTCAGGCTACGCGCCTTCACCAACAAGTTCAACTACGGTTGAACCGGAACTCAGGCTACGCGCCTTCACCAACAAGTTCAACTACGGTTGAACCGGGACTCAGGCTATGCGCCTTCGCCAAAAATTCAACTACGGATGAATCAAGACAGGCTATGCGCCTTCACCAACAAGTTCAACTACAGTCGAACCGGGACTCAGGCTATGCGCCTTCGCCAAAAAATTCAACTACGGTTGAATCAAGACAGGCTATGCGCCTTCACCAACAAGTTCAACTACGGTTGAACCAAGACAGGCTATGCGCCTTCACCAACAAGTTCAACTACGGTTGAACCGGGACTCAGGCTATGCGCCTTCACCAACAAGTTCAACCACGGTTGAACCAAGACAGGCTACGTGTCTTCGCCACCAAATTTAACAAAGTCCAACAACAGTTGAGCTGGGACTCAGGCTATGTGCCTTCGTCGTTAAATCCAACGAGCTCGGCCTCGCTCGAACTATAAGGATGGACGCCTTCGTCCTCAACTTTAGCAAGTTCAACCACAGTTGAAACGAGACTCAGGCAAAACGCCTTCATCTGTGAAAGCAAAGCCCGACCTCCAACAAATCGAAGCGCAGGGTAGGCACCCTCGCCATTCAAGTAAGTTCTCCCAACTCGAATTAAGATTCGGGCCACGTAAAGTTCGGCCCCGGTCGAACTACGAGGCCGCATTTTTTACTGTCGCGGCCGATAGTTCGACCGCGTCCGAACTGGGACTAAGGCTATGCGCCGCTATCGCCAAATAACGGCTAAGACTCGCCCGCATCAAGTTGAAAAAGCAAGGCCATCAACTATATTATGGCTAAGGCCATCGCCGCCAACGGTCGACCTAGGTCTGACCGCGGCGAGTAAAACGACCCGACGACAGTCGAAGTTGCCTTTGTGGCTAAGGCCTTCGAGTCTATCACGACTAAAGTCATCGATATAAATTCGACTAGGGCCGCCAACGCTGCCGTTCAACAAAAAGCGCAACAAAAACTCTAAAGAACGAAAGAAAAACAATGACACAAAACAAGCACAAGGCAGGCAATAGAAAAGAAAATTTATATATTTACAAAGTCAATTACGGGTCATCCCCGCTTACACCCGGCCAAGGCCGATCAATACAAGAAATAAAAAAAAAACAAGAAACACCTAAACGCCAAACGGCGAACAAGACAAGAAAAAATGCATCATCATCTTTTTACTCGGTGCCGTCTGCGCCACCGTCTGCACCAGCGTCAGCCTCGGGCATTGCCGCGTCAAAACCGCAGTCGGCACGGGCCTCACGAGCCTTCTGACGCGCTCCCTCAAAAGCAGCTTCGGTCACGACGCCAGCCTCCCACAAACTCTTATATACATCACGTTGGGCCTCGGCAAAGACCCAAAGTTCTCGAGCCTGGCTGGAAGAAGCGGCTTGATCCCGTAGCCGCTGATTCTCTTCTTCCAAGGTTGTGATTCGGTCCGCCATGACCTGGGCGTCCTGCTCAAAAACACCAATCCGCTCCTCGAGACTTGCTTCTCTAAAGGCCGCAGCATCCCTTTCCAACGTCCGTTGGGATTCGTGCACGCGGATAGCTTTCTTCAACGCCCCGGCCCTCGACGAGGCATCCTTCACCTGAAGCTTCAATGCCGCGACTTCATCCTCCAACGCGGTCACTTTCCCGCTCCATGCCGCAGTGACCTCCGCCGCCTTCGCCTGGCCACGGAGCTCGCACTCAGCTGCAACTCTCTTTACCGCCTCGAGCTCCTCATCCTTTCGGCGGAGCTGCTCCTCGAGAGCACTCGTCCTGTCAAGTGCTTGCTGCATCTGAACCTCCCGCCTCGCCAGCTCTTCGACTAAGGCACGGCTACGAGGATCATTCCTCAAGTGCACCCGCAACTCTCGGCACTGATCTCGGTAGCGGCGATACTTCTCCAGCGCCCGCAAAAATATCCCCGAGCGGACCTTGGCTCGACGGATGCTCTCCACCCCCAACAGATAAGACTGCAAAGCAAAGACAACGATTAGAATAAAAGGATAAAACTAAGGCAAAGAAGAAGCGAACCGACGCAACAGTACATACCCTCAAGCCCATCACGGCTACTTCATTCATCAGCCCGACATCCGTAACGCCCCTCAGCGACGCATTCTCGGCCTCCGAGCATAGTAGCTCGAACTGCGACACCAAGCTTTCCCCTTGGAGCAATAAGTTCAATTCCGCGGGGACCTCGATAAAGCGAGATCGCCCCTCTGCGCGCACCGCTGAGTTGGTGGAGCCTTCCTGGAACATACGGACGTCGTCGGGATCCAAGTCGGATTCAGACTCATCCTCACCCACATTAGCAGCCGCTGAGGAACTACCTCCCGTCTCAGTGACTGGGACCACCAATTGAGCCGCCGAAACGACAGTATCATCACAGCCTAAGCCAATCGGGGCGACCCCCATT